CCACCCTTTAACCGATTATTAATGGCTTAATGATTCTCATTCCTTTTTGTGCATACTGAAAATTGCATATATTCTTGTTTGCCTTTGCTGAATGTTTATAAACGGTATACAAAATTGATTATGAATCAACTTCGGTACATAGTTGAGAACCGTTCAAGGGCACACCCGAAGATTATTACTTCAGTTGCACGAGGCAAAGAGGTTTGTTGATATTCATCGGCAAGAGCGGCTTCCTTTGATTGACAGACACTCAAAATATGTTAAAATGGCCAGTGTTCATGTAACCCTCTGCACCTTGTCTGGAGTTACAAATCTTGGCCGTACAGTTTATTTTAGCTTCAATTTTCACCGAAAGTTTGCCTTTCATGTAGGTGTACTGGGCGATTTCTGCATGGTAAAAGCATTTAATTTTTCTTTTTCGTCAAAGTATTATCAATTAACCGGATAAACAAAATAATCCAGATTAAAGCAATAATTGAATAATTGGTCGGTTATTCTATCAATTGCCCAGCTGTACTGTTCACTAGAAGGCACTAAGGTCCAGTAAAATATTTTCTGTTAGAAACGGTTGTAAGTGGAAGTGTACCCGTGGAAAGGGTTCCTTAAAGTCTCCCTCTGTATGTTCTGTTGTGTGTCGCTTAGTTAAGAATCCTTTCTGTCCATTGGAATTTAGCTGTGCCCCCAGTCTTCGGTACACTCCTCATAAGAAATTTTTTTTATAGTGAAACTTCAAGGCAATGTCAAAATTATTGCAAGTTGAGGCAAACCAAAATCACAGAATGTAGTGACAGTTTGCTCTTTTGTGTAGAGAGAAGTGATGTTTATCAATATTTTATTTGAAAGTGCTCCTATGACAAAACGACTCGCCAACCTCTGCTCAAGACCATGTGGCTTGTGGTTTTAAAACCTGTCATATTCAAGCGTTATTTAAATTTTTATCTTCATCATGTACATTTTCTTGAACCACGACATTATTTAGTGCACCACAGTTTTACAAAGAAACCTCATTGCCAGAGACTCATACTCTTATTAATTGTGCAATGACAGTGCAGCCACCAACTGCCATTTCTGCTGAAATAGCAGTCTGTGGTGTAACACATCTAACAATGAACAGTGTGGAATAATGAAAAACAGTCCACAGCTGTTTCCCCAAGGTCCAGTGACTTGCTTCTGCAGGCATTTATGGTTTTCCAAAGCAGTGTAAATAGGGAGTATTAGCAGGTCGTTTCCACACGAACGGTTCGCCCTCGAATGCATCCGCGACGCCACTGCGCATGCGCATGCGAGTCGTTTGGGGAGTTGGGAGGCTCTTCTCGTTCGTTTCTCCCATTCCGGCTGCTGGAGTCGTCACCGCAACTTAGCCAGCACCGTTCACGACTCGGGTAAGAAAAAGATGGCGGTCAGTTCGGCGACCGCCTTCGCCGACCCAGCCGAGCGTTAGGTTTAGGACAGCGGGAGGCGAATTGCCGTCCTGTTAGTCTGCTTCATTTGAGAGGTTGAACGAAATCATTTCGAGGACTGCTCACAATGGTAAGCGATCGTGAATGCTGTAAACTGCGCATGCTAGTAAATTTTTGCGATCTGCAGGCAGACGAGCTGCTGTGGCGACTGCGAGCAGACGAAATGATTTGGTTCAACGGCACACAACCTGAACGATCGTTCAAGTTCAAGATGACGGAGACAGACCATATACCTTTGCGGTCGTTCAGACACTTTTTACTCTATCTAGCTTCGCAGTTCTTGAAATTCCGACCTGAAAATGTTACGTCGGCCGTCTTGTTTACATCAGGCGTACGACGGAAACACGAACCGCCACCACGGTGTCCGCCTCCATCGCCACTGATTTACACGTTGCAGAATGCTTCACATGTTTACTAGAAGATGGCGCCACCGTTAAGCACGATCATCATTATTGTTTACTCGGTCACGCCACTTTCACGGTTCGCTAAAGTATGTCAAATTTGACGTACGGTTTCACGGAACGGACGAGCTATACCATTTGTGATTTTGGAACCGTATGCTTGAAAAACGACTCGCTAAAACTTTCTAATGTGATCGAACCGAAACAGAAGATAGAGATGTGCTGCGTTAATGGTCCCTACACCTTCCCAGTGGTGATGCTCCTCCTCACCTTTTCCTAGGCAACGAGCGAGAGGACTCTTCACTAACGTAATCCGTCTTGGGCTTCTGGTATAACGAAGGCCACTGGGAGGGGCTTGAGGGCAGTCTGCCTCGAGGGGAAGTTGACTTCTTGATTGCTGCTACTTGGGGACTCCAAGATAGATGGACGAGGCTTTTCAGCAGACCTATTCTATCCTGGAGTTTGGGGTGGGCATGTCCCTCTGTGTTATGGACGTTTGCGACTTGTGTTGCTTTCCTACATGGCGACAGCCGCCTCCTGTGCATAAGTGAACTGGTGCTCATCTTTTGTGTAAGGTTGCTATTCGTGCCACTGAAAGAAGCTTTACACTTCTGGTGTGGCATGTCATTTATTTGGCAGCTAGAAAAGCTGTTGCTTGAAGTCAATGTTCAGGTTCTTGGTTTTTGGAGGACCGGAAATATTTTCTAATACACTCGACTCTCAGTAACTCAAACTCCTGAAAGCCACAGACTTCAATTTGAAATGTGAGAAGTTTGAAATATCGGAAATTTATGGAAAAGTGATGTGAGGCAAAGTATGAAATCGCTATAGGAATAACTACATATACCAAGCAGTTTTTTATACTATCCTCTGCACAGGCCTATTTAAAAAAGGGCACACGTAAAACATTGGTGAGGCTTAAAGCAAATATTAATATTGGCCGAATATTTTCTAATTAAATATAGAATAGTTTCTCAAAGCCTTTTACTACTGTTGTGCCGTGCTCAAACAACAATTCAGCTTAACTTGTGAAGGTTGTTCCCAACCTTCCCCTTGTCCACTTCTAAGCTCAGTTAGTTTTAATATAACTACATCTATGAACTGTGGCCTCTGTAAGTCCAATGCCCACATTGGGGTGGCATGTAAATGACAGATTTCACATAAAATTAAACCTGAAGAAACGCCCAGCTATCCTAATCGAAGGAATTTATAAATCTGCTTGCTATATGCAAATATTCTTTCTTTCATCTGGAATTTAATCCCCCTTAGAATAATCAAAGAAGCACAAATAAATAAAGCAGATTGTCAGGACAGTGCTCCTTGCATAATCGGGATGGGTTAGTCCCATCGAGTATGCTTCTCACCTAGCACCCGTATACTGCGGCAAAGCAATGACCACGAGCTTTGCGTGTATTGCTTTTCCGGAGTACACAGGTGCTCGATGAGAAGCGCACTCAACGGGACTAACCCTCCGCAATGGACAAATAGTGTGAACGGAGCGAAAACATTGTTTGAAATAAACAGCTTATTGATGCATTTAGATTTAGCAAAAAAACTAAATTTTTAAATTTGTTTGAAATAACTGGCAGTACGAAATATCAGACTTTGATTTATTGCGAGTCCACTGTACTTTTTTTAGTTCAGACAAAACAGTATATAGTGGCAGCTGTCAATGCAAATAGTATTGGTTGTATACTTTATATACTTTTTTTCAGGTGCTGTAGTTTTACAGTTTTAGAGGATTTTAAACGATCACATGAAAGTGGTAATACAGCACATCATTATGCTGTAACTCGCCTCTGGCAAGCACAGTCCAGTGTTACAAGCAGATTATACTTTTTCATGCAGCCATATGAGTGGCAATTCTTCGGTTTTCTGCTTGTCTAGTTTGGTAGAAACATTGTTCCGAAATGGTGACATGAAACGAAGCTATTAGTCTAAATTAAATTTTGTTTGTCTTGATCCTATAAGTGAATTGCTCTCATATCATTTTGCAGGCATTGCGCTGAGGCTTGGGCCATGTGGAACTGGAGGCAGCCAAGTCACCAAAGAAGATAGGACTTTGGCTCATTCAGAAACCATGTGAACTACGGCACAAGAGGCCCAGGGCACCGGGACAGCTGGCTGAATAAACAGCTAAGCCTTTCAAACATTGAAGTGTGTGCTATCCCAAGGAGAGTAGTTTGAAGGGGATTAGAGTTTTAGACCTCAAGGCAAATAAATGTATTTTTTCCTGCCAAAGGTTGGATACAGCCCTGATTCAAAAATATGAAAGAGTTATACAAGGAAGGCGGACAGGACAAACACCTTTCGAATTTCAACACATTGGTGTCTTCTTTTGCTGGTATAAATTGACTAACCTGGGGACATGCACTTTTAATCTGACAGTGAATCGAACTGATGACCCTTTCTTACAGTGTCCATTGAATTCATGATCAGTTAACCAACAGCCTGGCCACCAACACCTTTGAAATTTTTGGACTAGGCAATATATATATCCTTCGGAGACTATATTCTTGTGAAATCGGTAAACTGTTTCTTTGTTGTATGTTTGCCTATAGTCAGTTACAGGTTAAGAAGGTAGCGGCAAATGCCCCTCAAAGGGAATCGGATATCCCTCCGCCACCTCCGCATCCAATAGCGTCCCACCGTTTCCGTGACGTCGCGGCCAACGCGCGAGGAGGGTCTTGCCTTTCTGTACATATTTGCTTTACCTTTTGACTTTGACTTAGCATTGTGGAAGCCACGAGAGGGAGATTAGAGTTCTCCTCCACCGACGGAAACAAATACGACTTTCGGGGATTAGCTTCCCCCCGATGGATACAAAGGCTGCTTTCAGGGGCTCGGTTCCCTCTCTGATGAATACAAAGGTCGCTTTCTTAAAAAGTGGGTTTGGAGACAAGTGGGAATTCATAGAAGCGGAACAAGGAGCGTTTCCAGTGAACTCTTCTTTCGACTGCGGAGAGATTTGAAACGGGCGCATCACACTTATGGGAGGAGCTTCTCCTACCTTCTTGACTTGTAACCGACTATAGTAGATAACATACACTGTAAATGACACCAATTTTTTTCTTACGGGGTGACAAGAAACATTGCACATCATTTGTGCCAGACTTCGGAGGTGGTTGTTGGAAACCTAATGCAACTGCAATTTAGCCTAGAGTTTGATTATCATGAGCAATTGCAACTAGGTAGGTTTTGTCAATCTTTTTTCTTTTTGCACAGCGAAGCAGCAGGTGCATTAACATGAAGGTTCAATAAGACTGGGTGCGTCATATGATGTTCAGATCACAAAGACCTCAATCTAAATGCCTCCTAGCTGATCTACCCCAGTGCCTTGAGTGCATTACAGTGATGCCTAGAGCTTGAGTATTGTTGCCTGCAACATGATGAACCTACAAACACAAACATCTGTTCTCGCATGTTATTTTGCCTTTAGATTGAGGACAAAACTGCCGTCTGCTATACCTTTAGTGGCAATGAAAATGCCACAGCTAGCATTATTTGCCTCATGGCCGAGGTGAAAATGACCTTCGGCTATGCCTTTGTGGCCAGGCAAATGTCACATTGTTTTTTGCTCGATGGCCGAGGTGAAAACAAAGCCAGGCTAATGTCGCGTCGGTATTTGCTCCATGGCCAGGCTGAAAACGACCCTCGGATATACCTTCGTGGCCTAGCAGATGCCGGCCCTCGTTCTTTGCTCAATAGCCGAGATGAAATCAAGGCCTCGGTGGCCTAGCAAATGCCGGCCCTCGGTCTTTGCTTAATGGCCGAGGTGAAATCAAGGCCTCGGTTGCCTAGCAAATGCCGGCCCTTGTGTTTTGCCCAATGGCCGAGGTGAAAAGGAGACCTCGGTTATACATCTGTGGCCAGTCTAATGCCGCGTCGGTATTTGCTCCATGGCCAGGCTGAAAACGACCCTCGGATATACCTTTGTGGCCTAGCAGATGCCGGCCCTCGTTCTTTGCTCAATGGCCGAGATGAAATCAAGGCCTCGGTGGCCTAGCAAATGCCGGCCCTCGGTCTTTGCTTAATGGCCGAGGTGAAATCAAGGCCTCGGTGGCCTAGCACATGCCGGCCCTTGTGTTTTGCCCAATGGCCGAGGTGAAAACGAGACCTCGGTTATACATCTGTGGCCAGGCTAATGCCGCGTCGGTATTTGCTCCATGGCCAGGCTGAAAACGACCCTTGGATACACCTTTGTGGCCTAGCAGATGCCGGCCCTCGTTCTTTGCTCAATGGCCGAGGTGAAAACGAGGCCTCGGTGGCCTAGCAAATGCCGGCCCTCGGTCTTTGCTTAATGGCCGAGGTGAAATCAAGGCCTCGGTGGCCTAGCAAATGCCGGTCCTTGTTTTTTGCCCAATGGCCGAGGTGAAAACGAGACCTCGGTGGCCTGGCAAATGCCGGCCCTCGTGTTTTTGCCCTGTGGCCGAGGTGAAAACAAGGCCTTGGCAACTGGGCAAATGCCGGGCTAGGCCCTTCCTTGGTGGCCAACATGTAAAACAATACCTTGGATGGCCGAGAGTTTGCCGAGCACTGCCCTTTGCCAATGGCCGAGCTGAATTCGAGGCATCGGTGGCCTGGATTTTGCCGACCATGGTTTTTGGTTGTCCACCGAGGATTTGCCGGTGGCCGACCAAATTGATCGTTGGCCTAGCAATGGCCGAGGCATGGCCGATGATTTTAGAAAATTCTGTGCTACTTGGGTTGGCACCTCAACTGGTTTCAACTGGGACTAACTGCTCCCAACTGGGAATCAACTGGTCCCAACTGGGAATCAACTGGGACCAATAGGAGTCCAACTGGGACCAGCTGAGGGGTCAGCTGGTCTGAACCATTTCCAGTTGGGAGTCAACTGGTTTGAACCATTCCCAACTGGGAGTCAACTAGTTTGACTCCCAGTTGGGAATGGAGTGAGCTGGGACCAGTTAGGAAAGTAACTGATTGGAGCGATTCCCAGACGGACTTCAAATGCCTTTCCCGTTCCCAGTTCACACGGGGCAACAATTTTGACAAGTTGGGGGTGTACTGACCTTTCCTAATGAAGAAAACTAAAAACACTTAAATTCTTAGATTTATACAAATAGGGAAATTTTGAGTTACTGGGTACATTTATATATTTATAAAAATAATATAAAAATTTTAATTAACTAAATAATGTTTCTAATTAGAAAATATAATTAGTGACATAATGTGTTCACCTAAATGAACAATTAGTGCATTATTAAAATATATTAATACATTTATTTAACTACCTACAGTATTTTTCTTTTCTTTTTTTTTTTAATAAATAAATTTATCTTTCGGACAATCAAAGCTAGCCGGCCGCCGTGGCACGCGGGTGCGGATTAGTGGTACGCGCTGTCGACAGATGGCGCTGCCTATGCTGACGCCGGAGTCGGACGGACGCCGCGTACGCCATCACCCAAGTTGGCGTCGTTGTGAAAATATCAAAACTACAGCTGCGCTACTTTGGACCTAACTGTACACACACCATGGTGGCGGCGGTGAACTTCGAGGATGGAAAGATGCAGTTCAGCGATCGGAGGGCACCCATGGAAAGACCGGACGCACATAGACTGGACGGAAGAAAGAACGCCGCGGAGAGCAGAATGGCGAAAATGGCGGGAGGTCTACCTCGAAAATGTTCGACTGTTGTCACAGAGATTGCAAGGTGGGAGCGCTACCGCAGCTTATCAGGACTTCACCTGCGCAACGCGGGATCACGGGTGAGCACCTTTCTTCACGCGATAGGAAGAGAAGCTGAGGTCGTCTTCGCTAACAGACGCCAGCGGCCGATCTTCCTTCATCTCACGAATACTGCCTCTGAAAAAGCGATTCAACCGTCGCAAGCAAGTGGCTAAACCCGGAGCGTGTACGTCACCGAGCCTATTATTTAGTTTCATTCTCCAAGTTTTTGATAATAAATTGTCAACCTTCCATTTTGTGCTATGTTTCATTGTTGCTGGAGTTGGTACCAGCGGTAACTAGGACCAACTCCAACTGGTTCCAGTTGTAACTGGGACCAGTTGTAACTGGGACCCATTGTAACTGGGACCAATTCCAGCTGGGACCAACTCCAACTGAGACCAGTTGCAACTGGGAATCGTTTCATAAACCAGTTGCAACTGGGACCAATTGGTCCCAGTTGAAAATTTTCGCCTGGGAAGTGGTAGACATGTCAACTTCAGCGCGACTGGAACAACAGACTGCTTGATCTTGACCTTGTGCTGCACATCCTTGGCAAGTCCCAAACCCGGTGAGAAAGGTGACCAAACTCGGTCAAGAGGGGCGCTAATAGACCAGGGCTTGGAGCAACCAGGGTGGGCTTGGCGGTGCCTGAAGGACAACTGGAAGGGGTGGAGGCAAACGTGGCAACTGTCGGTTCTGCAGCGGCGTAAAAATAGCGAAGTTCGGCGCCCAAAATCTGAAGACCCAGAACTTCTACGGCGTCCAGGCCTAGAAGCGATTCTCCACCGGGCGTGACGTAGAAGGTCAGCAGGGCCTCTTCTTTCTTGTGTGCGACACGCGCGCAGAAGGAACCACACACAGGAATCTTCTGCCGTGAGAACTCCAGCAGGGCAACTTGCGGGCTGCTCAGCTGCACCTTGTTCTGGAACAGGCTCCGGAAATGCTCCTCCCCGATGATGGAGACAGCAGAGCCGGTGTCAATGAGAGCGTGACGACTCGCGGGGCCGACGTCGAGGCAAAGAGCGTCACTCGGACGTCAACGTAGACTCCTGTACGCTTATCGGTGTGAACGGAAACCCCATCCTCGTCGCTAGTTGTTGTGTACCAGGCCGGACGGCCGCGGACGTTGAGGAACTCAGACAAGACCAGACTGTGTGCCGACCAGAACGAGAATGACGTTACTATACTCCGTTTCACCTTATGTTGTACCGCAGGCAAGGCTAGAAGCGCGAGCTCATAGCATTGGGAGCTACTCTTAACGCACGAGAGCTTGTGCCGCCGAGATGTGCCCTAAAGCAAGGAGCTTGCGCTTGTAGCCTTTCTTGCGGTGCATCATATGGTGAAACAGAGTATAGTCCCGTGCAATGCTGCACAAAGACGAGGTGGTGGTGCCATCTCACGGAAGGCGCCACAACTACAACTCGCCAAAGGGTGTCGCTTCACGACTCTACAACAAGCATGTGTTAAAACAAGCTATACGTCTCGGGCTTCTGCTAAAGCTTCGAGGTCTGGCCATTTAGGTTAGTTTAGAGACCGAAGATGACCCTCTCTGGACCAGAGGACATGAGATACTGCCACGCGCGTCGGCGAGCGACCGCTTGCGTGGCCGATTGCTTACCGCGCTTGACTGCCGCGCGGAAAGTCTAGGTTCGATTCCAGTCAGTGGAATGTTCTTTTATTTATTCTTTCGACGTGCGTTCTCGTGAATTCGAGAACTTTCTCCTCTGATCGAGTTCCGAATGTTATAGTCGCCGAACCTTCTAGGCTGAATGTTCCAGAAGCCAACGCGCGTACATAAAGGGCTACACGTGGCGATCTGCGGTCAGTCTCGCCCCAACGTACGATCCTGCTGTTACGCCGCCATCGACGCCCGCAACGCTCTACTGTTATGTTCTGTTTACTTTTGTTTTGGGCCCAAGTTCACCCCACTAAACGTTTAGTTTCTTCAGTTATCATCGCCTCATCCATTCTCATTCGTGACAATACGCTCTGTCTATAATCTCGTCTCGACGTGTTGATCGAAACCGAAACCATGCCACTCTCCTCTGTAGCCAACCACTTCCCAGAGTGCAATTCGAGCAGTGTTGCATGCAGGGGTTTATGGAAGTAGTCTATTGGTCATACCTGCTTAACTCATTTGCAGCTGCTCTGGGGTTAGGATGTTAAACTTTGCGACTATTATGGCAAAGCTGACTGTTTGGTTCAACCTGTGGCACTACAAATCTTTAAACAAAAAGCGCCGATCATGTTTTTCAAAACTTTTTCGAGATCACCTTCCCTTTCATCCACATTTTCTGCTTGGTGCTCAACCCTTGGTACCTTTCAATCGAGTTTCAAATTTCCTCTAGAAAAGTGGCTTTTTAGACAAGTTGTACAGGGTCCGATCGAGAAAAGTAAACCCTATTTTTCGGCCCGCATAAAAAAACTACCCTTCGCAGAACGCTCAAACTCCGCCAGAATGTAACCATAGCGGTCCAAGCAAGATACCAAAGTTTCAGAACATGAGCTTACCTGGATCAAAAGATGAAAGAAAAAAAAACGAGAAATCTCTACGAACAGGCTCCGACCACGAAGAGACGCAGACGGAGGCCGTCTGCTTTGCGTTGCATCGCATAGGGGGCGCCACCACCTATGCGATGCAACGCAAAGCAGACGGTCTCCATCTGCGTCTCTCCGTGGTCGGAGCCTCCCCGTAGGGATTTCTCGTTTTTTTTTTCTTTTATCATTTGATCCAGGTAGGCTCATGTTCTGAAACTTTGGCATCTTGCTTGGACCGCTAGGGTTACATTCTGGCGGAGTTTGAGCGTTCTGCGATGCGCAGTTTTTTTTACGCGGGCCGAAAAGTAGTGTTTACTTTTCTCGATCGGATCCGTATAGATTGCAGTAGATCTCTAAGCTCCTTGCAAAAACCTTAGTTTTGGCGCAATATGGCCTAAGTTGCTCTTGCGTCATAAAACCTCAATCACCATCATAATTTCAACAACTTTGGGCCATTTGCTGAAAGCATCGATGAAAATCAGGGAGCTCTGCTGATTATGTTTCGGGAAATAAGCGAACTATGTACTACGGTCGTCCTGGAGATT